CAGGTTGATGGATGGCGCTGACCTGGGAGCGTCACTGTTGGGGCTCAAAACAACACGTTTGACTCAAGGAAAGTGGAGGCTTGGAAAGGTTGGCTCAGCCCAAATATATTGATTGCTCACCAACTGAAGCTGGATGATGTAAAGTAAAAGGACACGAGCCTGATGAAAATCTATGGTTGTGCCAGAAGTGGTAGCCTAATGATATGCTGAGGAAAGTTTAACAGTACAAAGGGAGAATGAGTAAAGGCCAAGAATAACGTAAGCGATGCCTAATTAGGGGGCGCGTCATTGTGATCGAGAGCGGTATACCTAAATGCGAGAAATAGTACGATAGAGATTCGTGTATAAGGAACGAATTAATTAAAGGAGCTTCGCTTAACACCTGCCTAGGGCATTTCACTAGTAGCCTTGGTTCTCGCCTCAGTCAGGATTGTGTGTGTGGATTAGTCCCATCGCCACACCTCTTGTATGCAGTTGCAGGAGGTAGGTCAATTTTTTCCCATGGAGCCTCTAATGTAACCTAGTAGGATCTGAGAACCCACTGCAGCACAGGGATGGAACATCGGGGCAGTAGCTTGTATGGGACCACAGCAAAAATGTATTTGTCTGCAGGAGGACTCAGAAGGCGTCAGGCACCTGCTTGTGACACTCGGAGGCCAGGTGGCTTTGACGGCTGTAGGTGTAGCAGTGTCAGTCAAGATGAGCAAGGTGCGAAAGTTTAACAGAAGAGAAGGAAGCGAGTCGAGGTTGCCGGCAAGGAGGAGGAAGGTGGTAGGGGGCGGGACGGGCCTAAGGAGCCGGGGATTCCTGCGCCGGGGTAAGTGGGGACAAGCGGGATCAGGCTGGACGCGAGGCGAGAGGCACCGACGGCCGAGTCGACGAGTCGACTAGGCGAGTGACGAGGCAATGGAGAAGGAAAGAAAAAAGGAGAGATAGAGCAGGGAAAGAGGGTGGGGCAGCCGTTTGGGAGCGGCCTAGGGTACGGCAAGGGGAGGAAGTAGTGTGGCCATAGAATAGGGAGAAGGCGAGGAGTGAGGGTGAGAGGAAAAGAGCGTGGCGGGGCAGCCGGGTCACCAACCCATGACGGCAAGGTGGGGGAGAAGGGAAGAGGTGGGCGGGGGGGGGAGAAGTCGAGGAGGGAGGGACGAACAGGCCAGGGGAGGGAGGGGACGGGCCCGCGGAACCAGTGAGGACGACGCCGGAGCGGGAAGGGGCCGCCAGCGAGCGCACGTGCCGCCACGCACCGCCGCCGGCGCCGACACCACTCGCCGGCGCGGGCAGGCAGCATGCCGGCGACGTCGCCGGCGAGGAAAGGACACGGCAATGAGCCGGAGGGTGGAGGGAGGCCCAGGATGGGGGAAGGGGTGGGGGGAGTCTGCACTGAGGCGAGGCGAGCCACAGGAGGCCGGGCGGCGCGGACCGACCGGACGCCGAGGCGACGCCGGGATAACACGGGGGGCGGAAACAAGCGAAGATGAAGAAGAGCATAGGCAGGTATAAAGACACCGTTAGCTCAGGGTGAATAAGCGAAGCAAGATGAAAGACTAGAAAGAGGTAGAAGCGGGCTGGGCCAAGCAAAGTTGCTTGCCCGTTCGCGAAGCTGGGCCGGGAGGCGTGGCGGGCAAGAACGAGGGCCCGAAGGCCATTGGCCCAAAGTGAGGCCCCGCAGAAGAATCACACACGCCACAGGGCGCAACGATGGGACACGAAAAAAAGCAGGATCTGTGCCGGAGGTAGCGCACGAAAGAAGGGACGGGAAAAAACACAAAAGTAGCAGCGAAAAACGACAGCAGCACAGCAAAAGAAGAGGGGGGAAGGGCAGCATTGCAGCGGCAACCAAACAGAAGAGAAAGAAGGGCAAAGAGAGGAGGGAAAAACGTTAAATTGGCGAGGAGATACCAACAGGGCCAAACGATGGATGCGCGGGGGCAGAAAAAGGAAAACCTGGCGCGCGTCGGTCGGGAAGTGGACGGCGAGGGTCGGGAAGCGAGAGCCAGGGAGGGCGCGGGAACTGGCGGGCACGAGCCGCCGCCGCGGTGGGGCCTCACGGCGGTGAAACGAGAACGACATGCGGCACCGTATAGGGTAACCGCGCAAGCGAACAGGAAGCGAGAGGAGGGAGCAAGCAACCACCGCAACAAGCGCGCGGACCGAGGGTAGGAACGAGCCGGCAGGGAGAGCGAGTCCGAGACAGTACAGGGAACAAAAGTAGCCAGCGAGGGGGCGGCGCGCGGGCGCGAGGAGGGGGGGGGTAGCGGAGGAGGTAGCCAAGGGGCGGCGGTTTAGGTGGAGGTGGATTGGGCTGGGTGTGGACGCGGGCGGCACAGGAAGGGTCGACGCGGAGGAGGGGAAAAAAGGGGGGGGGGAGGGGCAGGGCACAAAGACACAGGGAAGGGCGGGAATGAGGGAAGACCCAAAAGCGTCGCGACGAGAGTGGGGGGTGCGCAAGGGCGTCCGCAGCGACGTGGGGGGACCTGAAGAGCTGGCCCAGACGGGGGGGGGGCGCTCAAGGGAGGCGCAGACGTGTGGAGGGGGGGGGGCGCATGGAGGGCCGTGGGCTGGGGGCAGGCATGGTGAGGCAGGTCCATGCGGGGGGAAAGAAATAGACAAGCAGTAAGTGGAAGAGGGGCAGCGCGGGACGCAGAGACAGCGGGAACGTGCCGAAGCCGGTGGGGGGTGGGACGAATGGACGCGAAAACGGCGAAGATAAAAGGGGAGGTGCAGGGCCGGAGAAGGCGGGGTGGAAGTCGGGGGACAAGAATAGTAGGAAGGCGCCACGGCACAATGAAAGGAAGATTGAGAGCAAGGGGATCAGGACGGAAGGGGCCTGTGTAGGGAACACCATGGGACGGAATAACAAGAGAGCCGATAAAGGGAACGAAACACCAAAGGCGGGCGGGGAGGAGAGGAGCACAAAGGCGGTGAGGGACGAAAGAGTGGAGAAAAACCGACGATAGTACGAGGCGAGTGGGCGGAGGACGCGGGCGGGGAAGGAGTGAAGAGAGTGGGGGTTGATGAGTGAAGCGGACAAGCAAAAGCGGGGTGTGGGCGGGTCAAGTGCATGATATGGCTAGGGGGAAGGCGGGGAGAAAGAGGGGAGACTCATGAGGAGAGAGCGGGGGGGTTGGACGTATAAATGGGGTAGGGGGCATAGGAAGAAGGAGGTGGTGGATCCCGGGAGAGGGGTGGGGGACGAGGTGGAAGGACTGCGGGGCACGAACGAGTCGGTGAGGCCGAGCGCATAGAGGTGCGTGGAGCACAGGGGGACCGGGAGACAGCAAAAAATAAAAAAAAATAGAGATGACGAGATAAGGTAGAAGAGAGAGAGAGGTAGATAGAGAGAGAGAGAGAGAGATAGAGAGAGAGACGGAGAGAGAGGGGAGGGGCTAGGGCAGGAATAAATCGGTGGACAAACAAACGTAGTAGCTAAAAGTCAGGCGGCAGGAGCGGAAGAGGCGGGAAGGGGGAGACGGGGCCAGCATGATGAAGGCGGGCAACCACAGGAGCGCGAGGGCGGGAATCCAGGCGGGACGTAGGGGCACGGACGGTGGCCCGAACGAGGGCGGGCGGGGAGCGAGGGGGCCGCCGAATGCTTAAGGCCGCCGCGCGCGCAGCCGGCGAAAGGTGAGGCGAGGAAACGGGGCGTAGAGCGAGCGAAAGAAGGAACGGCCAAGAAGAGCACAAAGCCACTGGAAAGGGGAATGGGAACGGAGAGGACTGGGAGCACGGGAAACGTGGCGGGGAGGCAGGACAAAGGAGGCCCGGGAGGGGGATTGAGACCAGTCCCCGCCTCAAGTGAGGATGAAGAGTCGAGGGGGAGCTAGGGCCGAAGATGGGGTCGAGATCACCAAAAGGCGAGACAACCAAGAGAAGGCCCGAAGGTGCGGAGAATGAGTCTAAGGAGCGCGTACATCTGCAAGGGAGGACAGGTCGCGAAGAGGAGGCGGCCAAGCGAGTAGATGCGAGGTGACAAGGGCCGGAAGAGGCGAGAGGGGCGGAGCAAAACCGCAGAAGCGCGCCAGAGAGCGGGGGAAAGCCCGACGTGGGCAACGGCTCGGAGCACGGCGGATGGTACGTCACGCGACAACGGGAAGTCGAGGGTCCGGGTGGAAGGACCGAAGGCGCGTGAGTGCGGCGGCCAGGGCAAGGATGGCGAGAAAGGGCGAGAGAGAGAGAGAGAGAGAGAGAGAGAGAGATAGATAGATAGACGAGGATAGAAGAAGAGCCAAGGAGAGGAGGCCTAGAAGGCGAGTAGAAAAAGGCGCGGGCACAGATTGGAGCTAAAGGAAGGGCGCCAGTCAGTGAGAGAAAGAGGGAGAAGAGGTAAAGGGTACACGAAAGGGGCGAAAGTACTCATAAACAACAACACCGCGGACGAAGGCCGGGGAAAAGGGGAAGAAGTGCATGAGGGCACCGGGAACGACGTCAGGGAGGGCAAGTAAAAAAAAAGAAAGAAAGAAAGAAAGAAAGAAATGAAAAGGGCGGAGGTTTCGAACCGCAGCCAAGCAAATGGGCGGCAGAGTGGAGGCGCGAGGGGACCGGAGGAAAGGACGAGGGTGTTACTGCGCATGGCGCGAGTGGGAGAAAGGCCAAGTGGTGGGGGGGAAGTAAGGACGGGAAAGGGAGAGGAAGGCCAGGGAGTAGGAGAGGAGAGGAAAGGGGGCAGGCAGAGAGAAGGGAAGGGGGAAGGGGCGGAGGGAAAGAGGGAAGGCGGCGCCCAAAGGGGGAGGCCCCAACCCCAAGGGCCCCCACACGCCGACCGACAGAGCAGGGGGGAAGGGGGAAAGCACGGGGACGCAAGGGGGCAGCAGACAGGGCCAAAGGGGGGGGCGAACAAGGAAGCGGCCCACGGGGGACAGAAGGCCCGCACGGCCGCCGCCGAGGGGCAAACCGGGGGCGCGGCGCCCAAAGACGCCCACGAAACCAGGGAGCGAAGCCCGGGCGGGGAAAGAGGGAAGGCGAAGGGGACAAAGGCAAGAGAAGAGAGGCAAGAGGGAGGAGAAGGGGCAAGAAAAGAAGGGGAGAGGGAGGGGGAAACCAAAGACGGGACAGAAGGGAGAACAAAGAAAAAGGAGGGCAGAAAAGAGGAAAGAGAGACGAAGAGGGGGGGAGAGAGGGCGACAGGAGGAGGGGGGGGAAGGGCGAGGAAGACGGAAGAGGAGAAGGAGAGGAAGGGGGGAAGGAGAAGGCGAGAGGAGACGGGAAGAGGAGAAGGAGACGAACGGGGAAGGAACGGGAGGAACGGAAAAGGGAAAGGGAGAAGCAGAGAAGGAAGGAGAAAAGGAGAAAAAGGGGGAAAAAAAAGGAAAACCGGAACAAGGGAACCAGGCAGGGAGGGAAGAAGGGGGCGGGCAGGGGGACCCAAGGGGAAGAAGGAAAGAAAGGCGGGGGGCAAAGCCGCGAAGAGAAGCCGCGAACGGCGGAGGGCAAACAAGGACAGGGCAAGGGAGGGCGCACGGCAAGGGGGGGGGAGGGGAAGACGCGCGGGGGCACAAAAGCGCGCAAGGAGGGAAGGGGGGGCGGGAGGAAGAGAGGGGGAAGGGGGGCAGGGGAGGAAGAAAAGACGGGGGAAAGAAAGAGAGAGCAGGAGGGGAGGAGAACGGGGAGAGGGAAGGAGAAAAAGAGGCACAAAAAAGAGAAGAGACAAGGGAGGGAGAGAAGCAAGGGAGGAAGGGGAAGGGAAAAAGGGGACAGGGGAGAAAAAGAAAGACAAGAGAACGAAGGAAAAGAGGGCGCGGAAGGAAGGGAGGGAGAAGGAAGAAGGGGGACGGAAGGAAGACAGGGGAAGGACAAGGGAGCGAAGAGAAGCAAGGAAGAAAGGGGAAGAGAAAGAAGGGAGAGGGGGAGAAAAAGAAAGACAAGAGAACGAAGACAAGGAGGGCGCGGAGGGAAGGGAGGGAGAAGGAAGAAGGGGGGAAGAAAGGCAGGGGGGACACAGAAGGCGAAAGGAAAGAAAGGCAGAGCGAGAAGGGGGAGCGACGAAAGGAGGAGGGAGAGAAGGGAAGAAGAGGAAAAGAGAGGACGAAGGAGGCCAACGGGGAGGGGGAGGAGGGCGAACCGAAGACGGGGGGGGGAGGGAAAGCAAGGAGGAAGGGAACGGGGAACGAACGGGCAAGGCGGAAAAGGGGAACGGAAGGAGGAACGGGGGGGGGAGGGGAAAGGGAGGGGAAAAGGGAAAGCGGAGCAAGCGGGGAAGCAAGCGGAGCCAGGCAGGG